ACCAGGCGGAGGAATCTAAATAACAAGCAACATGGGACTGCAGTTGTCTCTCGAGAACCTGCGCGTTAAGGAAACTCATCTTCGGCGTTCATCTGGCGCAGTAGTGTAATTCTAATTGCGAGGGTGCTTAACAAACGCGTCGATAGCACACATCTTCGGTGGGTTCACGATGATGCTCTTACTTTTCGATTAAGACAAAATTATTCTCTAGTTGATTTTTCGAGATTAAATTACCATAACTTCTGTTCTACTAACAATGTTTTGTTTGACAACAAATATTTAGAGCGGAATTCGATGGAAACGAACCGCAGTTGTGAAACTGACACAGACAGTCAGACAGTTAAATCTGTGGGTAGCAGCGTATTTCAATTGGAAGGGCCCGCTTCTTGTTTATTAGATTTCTACCGGCTCACTAGTGGTGGGAGCTAAAGAGTGTCTCTCACCTTTCGAATCCACAATATATACAACTGAAAGCACCTGAAGGACTATGGCAAACGGAGAGTAAACAGAGATTTGGGGGTAGAGGAAAGCTTTTGGTGTGCCAGTTTGTGTGGTTCTGCATGTAGGGATGTCACTGCCTAATGTGGTAGCCTGAAGAAAATAAACACCTCGCATTAGGCTGGTACAGTCAGCTCCATTTTAACTAGTGTGTCGTAAATCGTCGACAAAATATACTGTCATTTAAACAATCACTGGCATATTACGTTTACAATAAGTGACTATAAACATGGTATATCACATGCCCTACGCCTACTACCACTGGTCACTAGGTGAATATCAGCGTCCATGCAGACCCCGTCTTTTAAACTGAATTCCAGGTTTGAACCTCAACAAAAGAAAGACGAACTAAAAGTTGGGATTGCATCATAGCAGGCATTTCATCTTGCCTAAAATAGTAGGGCAACCATACCGGCGATTTTGGAAAACACACAAATTTGGCCGCACAACACTAATTCATGTAGCCAGAAGAAACGTTATCATTCTTAGCAGACTTTCTATTGCGACTCGGTTAGTAGCAAGTAGTTTGTTTGTATACAGCTTCTGAAATATTTTGCATACTGCCGTAAACCACGTTTTCGGTGGAATGAACCCTCCAGTGAAAAAACTTCTTCGGTTGACAACAACATGGTCTTAGTAATACAAACTTCATATCAATCTTTAAAGTCTTGATTTATATTCTGCTTGAACTGAAGGTCCCTTGTCGATAACTGAGTAAAATTATTAACACGAAACATCTGGACACTTTACTCAAGACTCGACGTTTCATTCACAACTAGGTAGTTTTATCTTTCACCCTCTGGAAAGTCAACATGATAGAAACAATTACAAGTGATCTATTCCAATAAGTTGTCGTTTCTGAGAGCCTGCTTTTCAGTGTAAATGTATCACGTTGCGGAGGGTCATTGGCCTGAAGAAGATGATTCCGAGAATAGATTATTAACATGATAATATTTACTTTGTGGTTGGATGTGAAGAATTTTAAACGTAGTCGGATTTTTTATCGCTGGTGCCTTGAAAAACTCTAGCCATATTTGCTTGATAAGTGTATGACAATGTTTCAAACCTGATACCTTGTTGACTCAATGCGAAACGAAAAACATGCACACAAACTTGCTACGAGAACGTTAATATTTTCTGTGATGTGTAATTTAACGTTTTTTCGGAGCATTATTGAAACCTAAATCAGCAGTAAACATTTACATTTAAATTTGCTCAGTGGATTTTTGCATGTAGAACGTTTAGAGCCAGTATACGGCCGGTTCAAACGAACGATACTGAACAACTCTTCCAAAAACCAGATTAGATATGATTTCATTCGGTCATTGGGGCAAACTTTTTTTCATGCATAAAACCACTGTTTTCAGGATTCATTCCAGCTCCAAAATACAAACTCTGATTTCGGGCTGCGGAACTTGCACGAAAAGCTTTACTGACTGACTGTGTATTTCATAGCAAAGATATTATCAATGGCGACAATGGTTGTGCGTCCGGAGAATATGTTGTCTTTTTCTGCACGCTAACGCAAAACGTTAGTTCTTTGGGTAAGGTGGTCATGGCATTCTTCGCAGAAGGCAAGCGCCAGATCATGAGCAAGCACGCAAGTGGATGACAGAAAAACACACACAAGGAAAAACTGGTAAAAATGCCGTCAACTTGCACAGAATACTCACACCCCCCTGTGCGATGCAGCACTTAAGGTGAGCCTAACTGTTCGTCCCGTATCCATTCCAACAAAGCGAGGCATCGTGTCAAAGAAGAGAACCGGTGACAGTAGTTGAAAATACGATAACCATAACAATAGGATGTTGTGAAAGTTGTCCGCAGAGTTGTTGACAGCCAAATGGATAGCGAGCGCCCAATTACACGCCACTCTGGAAGGTGAGTTATCGTACATTTACAGGGATTTGAGTCGAATGTTTGCCAGCACATTTAAAGGTTTCTGATTTTCACCCTGTGCGTTTCTACCTACAAGAAAAACTTATCTCGTTGAGTAAGGTTCAGTTTTTCACGGTATATCCAACCGGTTTTTTGGCAGTGGTTTCTGGTGCGCAAACACCTTCACTCAAGTCCTGTTAATCGTACTGTGTTCACCTTTTATTTGTTAAGAGGGAGCTTTTACAAGTTGCGAGTTTATACTAATGTCCACTGAAGAAGTAACCTCTGTTTGGGAGCAAAAATTGGTTCGAAATGTTATCTTGTGTTCTTTTAAGGAGGATCTTCGTGCAGTTTTTATTCGGCCGGCCACCCTAGTTACGTTTTTGTTCGAATGGGATACTGGTGGATGAATATGAAGAATAATCAAAGATTGTAATAGAGGTCTATGATTTATTTTTCTGATAATTTACTAGCAAATCAAAATAGGGACTCACAGAACGTTCATAAGTAGTGACCAGAATCATAAACTGAATTAGGGTGAAGTTAACGCCTATATTCAATTAGGTTTTATAACACTCTGGTTATTTTCTCACTGGTATTCCATTAGAAATCCCAGAAAAAAATTAGCGTTTCAGTCAGTGACACCATTGAGTTCACTCTAATGAGGTAGGTGTGATGGAGTTACGTGAAGAACAAATTGCCTAGTTAAAAGCTCAGCTATTCAGTACCATTATAGGCAAAACACCAGACTAAAAGCATGGGCTAATCATAAAGTACACGTGATCCGATTGTCGAACCAAATAACCTCCAACTTCTAACGGCAAACCAACCAGCCATAACTTCAGCTTAATTCGCTATCCCAGTATGTGCGATTGTAGCGCAATCATTCGTGCAGTCATTAGAATGTAGGCAGTGTATGGTCCACATAGAAACTAACTGTGCCAAACAAATTATGCCACTCGATGTACGGCGGTCTGGCATATATCCGTAGCTACTGGGCAACAGCATACTGTCTCCAAAAGGCACTACGGAAATTCGCTCTAACAAATCCTGTGATCAGCGTGATCTCTGAGTTTCTTGTCGTAAGTATCGTGGAATGCAGACAGTGGGGATGCCTGCATAGGCATTAGGCATCTCATGGCCAAGAGATCCCATGCAAAGATGTTTGCTAGGTTTATTCCCGTGGATTGGGAAATAAAAGTGTATACGTTCACTCTGGGTGATAGCTGACAAAAACATTCCTGGCTCTGTGTCATCACCTTCAATTTAGTACATTTGGTTTCGCAACCGACTTCTCCCCGAAGAAACCATTACTTATTCCGTATTGCATAAGCTATAAGCTTCCAAGAGCTTATAGGCTTATACCTTAACACTTAAAGCAATTGTAGGTCATTCTCTCGGGAGACTGACCTCCTCCCCTATGAATATGTAATGTTTATGGATTATTAACCAGCTGTTCCGCCATGTGCATGCAAAGCCAAGAACGAAATTGTGTTCTCAACACATCAAGCCCGCAAAGACAGAACACCATCCACAAAATCTCAATCAATGGTTTTTGAAATCTGAATTCCATTTCCTCTCGAGAACTACTAACTAGGTGATAGTTCCTCCAGTTCCTCCAGATGGCCCTGGAGTGACGCAGTCAAATGAATCAAAACTGATCTGAAAACAATTCGTTGATGTGAACAACAGATGAAGGGAATAATAGTTGAAATCATCGATAAAGAGAGCATAAATGTGGTATCTTGTAAGCCGCAACAGTGATCGAGGATGTAGTGTCCTACGGATGGATGCGTGTAATGATAAAATGGCAGGTTTTGTGGTGTCTTTTAGATCTTGAGTGCGCTGCTTTTCGCGCATAATGACATACTTTTTCAACAAGAAACGGCGTAATCTGGGGGGTGTACTGTGTCAAACACTTATCAGTGATCTGTTTCTTTTGAAGGTAAACTAAAGGTCCATACGAAGGACGCAAGTACCATTAGCTGTTATCATGGGGTTTTGCGATGAATCCATCACCTTTCAAGTAGCTGTGACTTGCAACCATATGAACTGTATTTTGTAAAAAAAATCTGCGTAGATTCCACCACAAATAAAGTTTGTCAGGATACTATTATTATTATTATTAGTAGTAGTATTATATTGCTGTTAGCTCTGTTAATCCAGATGGGATAGGAGGCATTTGGGTAGTTGGGTGTCTTCAGCTCATGGTATTTTAGCTTAATGTGACTTTTCCAGTAGATTCGAATGTTGTAAAATTACTATTGCCGCAATGCCTGCTTCAATATTTTGCTACATACAGTGGAAGCACGGGACAAACACTTTGATCAAAGATTTCATCCATACCCCCAATAAATACCATACCATTGTCATACCACCACTATATCATACGAATACTGATGGGGTACATGTATATAGTGACGAAGATATCTCCGTAGATTTTCCGGGTAGTAGCGTATTCGTGTTACGCTTACTTCTTGGAATAGCAAAATTTGACTTTAAGTGGAAGAATTCTCACGCGAGGAAACTTCACACCAACCCTATTTTCGAACCATGCTTTACATGTTAAAGACGCTCCCCCGAGCAACAGTGAAATAAGGATAGGGAAAATACACCAAACTCACCAAGAAGAATCTTTTTAGCACGCCACTGCACTTTCCCGTGCTGATTCAAAACCACGCATTGCATGTTAACTGTATTACCCAGTGGGACGGAATACTGATCCTGAGGTAGCACATCGAAACACTGAATTCGATCTTGACGTTCTTGTGGTGTGCAGGCAGAAGACTGAATCACACGGGCTGCATCTATTGTAAGAATAGACGGGTCAAAAAGGGGGTCAGATAAGAGTGGATGTGCAATTGAATCATAGATTTCCTGTGGTTTAACTGAACGGAAAAAACGTTTATTCTGTGCCCAAAGCCTCCGTCTTTCTGTGGATGATAGCTCTATATGTTCTTCACTCGTAGACGAGTTGGTAATCCTTTCAGTGGTTTCGGAATGCGGTAATTTTGCACGTGTCACGTTAAAATCTGGAGTAGAACAATTCAACGTGGTAGCACAGGTGACACACAGAATAAGGGGAACTCCAGAGAGAAAGAAAAAAACAGACGCGAATAGTCCCGGCATTAATTTAACCAAACACATAATGCCACATTCTAAACTCCTGTGTTCAGATGCTCATACAAATATGATCATCACCCTGCCGGTCCGTATTTTCTAATATGATAATTCCACGACGGTCGAGTAGCATGAACGAGAGTACTGCTTATCGCACTCTGTGGCAGAAAATGGTCAAGGAGCAGGGCTGTGAGGGCTTTCCTGGGAAATCGGGACAACCAATCATGTGTGCAGGGCTAACAGATGGATGAGCCAATCAACGTGGAGATAATAATGTCAACCACACCAGACAAAGTGGAATATTAAGAGGCATCTCGATCGCTGACGGGATGTCGGTATAATATACACTGCGTACATGCTCGAACAGTGAACTGGGCGATCTACTTCTTCTTTTATAGACATTGTGGCATGTGTCAATCAACTTAAGATTAAACACTCGTGTATCCATGAGTGGTGATAACGCGCTTCGAATACGGAGCAGCTTATTGAGGATACCAGCTTGTTATCTCCAATAATATAAAATACTCGAGTTACAAGTGATCCATATGGTTTTTTGACCTGCAAAGATTTCGTTTTAGCCTTACCGTAATCCGAAGATAATAGAAGTAGAAAAAACTTGTCTTAGGTTTGCTGTGCAGGTTTTTATGATGGCGTTTTTCAAAGTACAGGGCCATTCAATGCCTAGACGAATGCAACCCTGGTAAACTGTCCTTAAATAAGTGTGCAACTTGCCCAGGACAAACTTCGCACCAAATTCACGTTTGCTAAATGAACTTTTTTAGTAAAATTTCAGCTCGTTGCACTGTTTACACTTAATTGAGTACAGAAGTGACGTCCAGACGCCAAGTGATAATCAATTATCATTCTGGATTATTTATGGAAATTGGTATCAGAAGAGCCTCACACATATTACCCGTTGTTAAAAAACGTATTAGACTCCCCTAATAGATTCTACTTCTTAGTAGTTTAAAGGGACTTTGAGGAGATTTGTCCCGTTAAAACGCATAGAGGTACGGCTGTTTGTCCTTACGGGCGATCGTCTGCAGTGCGCTTCTCTTGAAACTCTTAGAGTCTGAAAACAGCGGCCTTTCGGTTATCATCTAAGCGTTTAAGCATTAGGTCAAAACCAGCAATATGATTAATTTAGGCAGGATTTAACACCACTCAACTCCTCGTTGCAGAAAGGTTAATTAGTAATCCTCCAGCCTCGAGGTTGTGGGTTCAAAACTGTCAGATGATAGTTGATGATTCTCAATAAGAATGAAACAGCCCTACGGTACTCTCATCCTTTCAGCGTAGACTGATTTTACTGAGCAAACAAACATCTACTAAGGATTCAGTTTCACTAAACAAGTCGTGTTTTAGTAGACTAATTTTGTGATGCGAACAATTTCAGCAGTCAAGGCAGGATCATCCTACAAAGACAAACCATTTTGGCACGCTTGTTGGCTATTACTTCTTGTTTCCAATGACGCAAACACTAAGATTTTCATTTGGGTTAGTTGGTTTAGACGTAGAAAAACATACTATGGGGTCTTCCACATTTAGTGGGGGGGGGGAACAGAATCACACATAAATGGTTCTGTCAAAACCTCGTGTGCTGCTCATAAGATGTCAGGGATCTATTTAGCCTAGGTATACCAAGCACGAAATGGATGAGAAAATTATACCGTATTGACAAGTCTTCGCACTTTCAGCCTTTTACATTCGTAAGATCAGTTCTTGGTTATTCCGCGAAAGATTCACGTAGACCAACCACTGACATTTTCAAAACTTTATTTCTACATATGTTCCCTGGTGGGGAAGACAAGCTATGTTTTGTTATTTGTTTGTTAGTTGTGTCAGTCGATTTGGCTTTCATTATAAAACATTTATCTCCATAACGTAGAGACCCGGATGGAGCTTCGGGGTCTTTTTACCATCGGGAGTTCGTATATGCTTTCAAAATATGCAGCCCCCGTCATTAGCATCCAAGTATTGCACGCAGTAAGGTAACTATGATGTATTACATCCCGAAACACACCTATTGATAATAAAATTGGGGTTGCATCCATTTAAACGACTCTCTTGAACATGACCTGTCCTTGAAATAGCGGCTTTAAATGTTAGCCGAAAATCGTAAAAAAATGATCACTTTGGGTCCATGCTAAATTGGCACAGGTATGACTGATAAAACCGCACATCTAGGCATGCGAATATATTTTCCACGCACGGTAGAGCAATCTGATCTGAAAGGGTGGACCACAGTAACTTCCAAATGATTTGCAAAATCACAAATGTACGTGGCGGACAGCTCTACTAAAATATCATCTGCGACAATCTGCTCAACCATAGCTGTTTTTAATTGGTGTAAAATTTTTGGGAAGGAAAAAGTACTTTGAGGAAAATTGGAAAGATTTTCGCAAGATAAAGCACGCTAGTTTTTGAGTTGCTCTATTGTAAGCGGACCCATTAGTGATACGTTCTTCAGTCTTGTAGCTGGTGTTATACGTGACACGATAATTCTTGAAATTAGGCAATCTGCCAAAATTTATGGAACTCCGTCAAAAATCTCTTACAAAATCAGAGAAGGGAAAGTAGGTAGCCCTTTTTACGCCGCGGATCAGCCTCTTCAGTATCTTAGCTCAATTAACGAAAATAACACTCAGTACCCATTTCTGATGCAACTAATTTAGGATATCAGGCGATATAAATTTCGGATGCTACTTGAGAACATCCAATCCCGTGCGGTAGGAAATTTCAAAGAGATACAATGTCGAAGTTTCCCAAGTTTCTGGCACGTTCACGAGAAAAGCGTAACAACGCGGGTTTCGGCTGGAGTAATAACTTGATTCATACGTTACATTGAAAGTAATGGTGCACAAATTGGAAAACGCAGGGACACTGTGGTAAATGGCGAAATAATCATGTTGCACGAGATGGAGTTAAAGCTCACCCGCAAGGGAAAGTTGGTTATCGCCTACTGAACCAGCAACCAAGTAACAGATTACCGAAATATTCTTTTCCGTTCAATTATTAAGCGGATTCGAATGAGAGAGAGGAAGCTTATCCGTAAAAGGCACTTTGTTTTTTTATAAAACTTTTAGGGGTGGCTAAAAGTTAATGTAAGGGAAACATATTCTCACGGTAAAATTACTTAGCCACCTGGTGATTACCTTTCGATTTTTGGAATTGTTATGCTCTGATTTAATGTGCCATTTGCGTTTCCCTCTGAAAATTGGCGGCTAGTTTGGTGCTGTATATTACGGACGTCATGATAGATCCAAGCAGTTAAGTCTATCATTCACTGCATGAAAACGCTTGTATCATTGCACACGCAACTTCTATCATCTGAATCCGACAATTTCCGCCTTGAGAACGCCATCGATCAGGAACCCTTGGTTGTCAGTAGCCTTCTTCGGTGACTTCATCTGAAACTCACCCAGATGAATTTGACCGCAGTTCATGATGTAGCTCATCGAAGTGAGATCAGAAACAACTAGGTTAAACAAGGCTCTTCCTATAGTGGAACAGCCTTGAGATGAAACCAACAAAGCTAACCGAGCTGAGTGTTCAGGTTTTCATCACTTCACTTATGATGATTTAACCACGACCGACGGGGTAAATGTATCATTCGAGATAAGACTCAATTGGTAGCTTCATACGGGGAACTGTAGCAGGTGAAAAAGGAACCAGCGATATCCAGTGTGTTAATCCAGGTGATCAGAGAAACATATACTTAGCTGATTGGTACTAAGCTCATACCGATTATGATGCGCTTTTGCTGCGACCACATAAATTTATACAGAACACCCGGTGTTTGGGCATTTTTCAGAAATCTTCTGGAGGATTGTGCGAAAGTAAAATGGGATGATTTTCATTTGGAATAGGTATTTCCGTCAGGTTTAAAGCTGTTTTCCTTAAAATACTCGCTTGTCTTGACATCATATATGGCTTTGCTGAGATGGTCACAAAACTACTTCTCAGCAGTTCCTGTTAAACCTGATTTTCAATTATAGCTAGACCGTGGTTTTCATAGGGTCATTTTTCCTAATCAGAGTGCAATAAACATGAATCCTGAGTGAATGGAACTCTCACAATTTTTTAACAACACCACAAATATTGGTGAGATTTGACCAGCAAGGACAAGTCCGCAGCCATTCTATGGTATTTGTTAGAATAACTAGAGGAGTATTTCGGAATTTAAAATTTTCATGCATCTGTGACATATTCCCAAAGCCGGGTTTCGATTCTTGGAGCTTATTTTCATCCTTTTGCCGAATAGCATGCTGCATTTTAGCCTATTAATGTGTGCCTTGCAGTTCAGTATGACTGCCTAAACGCAAAAATTAGCGAACTTCGGACGCATTCCTCCGAAATAATAATAAAGGGTCAAGAACTGTTCTATCCAGTGCAGATTATTTTCACAATGGGCCTGCACCCTAAAATAGTAATTCAAAGACGATATTTTGATCACTCAGAGAGACGGGCATCTCCGAATGGGATGCTCAACCACTAAAACACTTATTGTTGGCTCAAGTTGTCTGAATACTTCTCAAAAATTACACTAGTTCTGACTACTGTTTAGTTGTTGTTAACAGGTGTGTAGGCAGGTTGTATGGATCGGCTCTATAATGTGAATTTTTGCATATTCTGCTGCACACCAGTGTAGCCCAACGCATAAATTGGTAACAAGCTGTGAAAATAAATGGCAAAGACATTCCCGGTACGATCGCCCAAGGAATAAAGCTTTCCATAGAATGGAACGTTAAATGGCATCCTGTACATGCCCTGGTACTAAAACCTAAAAGCTGCAACAAATTTCCGCCCATCGTCTTGTCGCACAGAAAGGTTTGTAAGCCATGACGTATAGTCACACGGTATCATAAAGTGTGACAAAGAAATAAGCGGCTCTTTGATACGACCATTTCATTGTCAAATTAAACCTTAAACTGTAATAAAATGAGAAAGCTTATCATTGTGGCTTGTCTGAATTGGTGGTGAGAAGTTTATGTTGCTGAATCGTTATAGTTTATTCATCAAAATTTTGATTGGTTTGTCAGCTCGTCCACCTTTATTATTT